GCGCAAATTTAAAATTTAAAATTTTAACATTTAAATTTTAAATTTTAACATCCAAATAAAGTTTTGTGTATTGACCTGAATTTTATTATATATTTTAATCAAAAACACAAACATGACGCATGTAAACCTTAAGTTCGTCATAGAAGTGCAAGTGCTGTTCTTGCTGAAAACCGAAGAAATGAGACCGTTTCATGATCAAGTCAGCAGCGCTTTTGACTGGCTGGAGTAAGGCACCTGGCTCGAATCTTTTAAAGTTATACATTGGTGCGTGCATGAAAGACAGATTTGTCCTAACCCCGAAATGAATAGGAGACATTTACAAGTATTTAGCACTAGAACCACGTATATGCCAGAACTGGAAAGACAAACTCTAAACAGATTCATACATTACCGACCAACCATTACGACGCTAGACACTGATTTACATTCAATCACCGGTCTCACTTTCGAACGCAATTCCCAGTAAGCCATGAGGTGATGCGCAATTGTTCACATGGTGAAACGAACGATAATACCCGGCAGTTGTCTGTCCTCTGTGCTACGCTTTCTGCTGTAGCCATATTGGATAAAGGAGAGTCAATTGTTATGCCGGTGGCGTCCAGGCGGACAATAGCCGAAATAACACGTGCACTCTCTCCAGAGCGTGACGCAAGCCTCACCGAGCAGCCACTAGGGGCGTCCCTCTCCTTATAAAAATGTTTTATAAGGAAGACAAATGACGTTCAACGTTACATCAAGAGTAGCGAAGTAGCAAATGGCCGACGTGTCTGCCCCACATCAAAACAATTCACTGACAGACGGACAAAATAATGCACGTGGGAAGTTCTGTCCAACGTAGTACGCGAGATCTTGGATAAACTTAGTGGACAATTTAATTCCGGACCTGTCAGACTCCAGCAAGTGTCGGGGCTGCGAGAATGTGCTAACTGGTCCATCCTTCGCTTATCTCAGGGGGCGGTTCCTAATGGAGCATTGGTAGAATGGTTACTGGCAAGTGAAACAGGAGTAGTCCGAGAAAACCCTGACTCAGTACCACGTTTTACACCATAAAGCCCGCAATAAATGTACGGAAACAGGGCCCCGAGCCTTGGAGTTGACTAACGACCTGCATTATCACACAGAAACGGTTCAGGAGATGATTCTCTAAAGGTTTGTGACAGTGGTTGATCATTATAAGAAAGCTATATTGGATACTGTCGAATGTCTTAGGTATATTTGAAATAAGACGTAGCCAGATTTTCCACCACTATGAAAGTAAACAATGATAAAAACCCGTCAGTAAAAGTACAACCAGTCTTCTGAAGGCGGGAGTAGAGCAAACTCCCGAAACGTCGTGTAACAATGAAGAGTGTCCAACACAGTGTTTGTTATAATTCACGAGCGAATGTTGCACACGTGCCCAAGCGATCCACGTGCGAGCGAGCAAACGTTCGTCCCTCAGAAGTCTCATTTAGGTGGTATTAATACTACGCCGCCCGGGTGTACCACCGCCTTCACAGCGTCTTCTTCGGATAAGTTAAAATACACGTATATTTGGCCTATGGTAAAAATAGGAGTTTTAATTACCTTGATCGAGGTTTTTAAAAAGTTCATGTCATAAACATCATTTGGTATGTGGCGGTTTTGATGAACACATCTACACAGACTCGAAGAGATTCTGGCAATCTAGCGAGAGCACGATGGGAAAGACAGCAACAGATTACATCACACAAAGGCTTTGGCGCACTGAGAGGCCAATAACCCATGCATCTATCCGCAATTGTAATGACAAGGAAGTATTTCAAAGTTGATAAGAATAACACCGCTATTCCACAACGTTATATTTTAACATAAAAATAAGTTTTACAAAAATAAATAAATAATTTAAACACTGTTAGGCGACGTTGGATTTGACTTCGTGCTTTTATTACAATTATCTGCCTATAAAGCAGGTTAATGTAGCAGGAACGACTCGGCTTTAAGCAATTATCTGCTTATAAAGCAGGCTAATGTAGCAGGAACGACTCGGCTTTAATTTGAGAGGTACACGCTTATACTCTTAGCAAGGTTACCCGTTCTCCTTGAAATTGTGATTACTTTCATAAGATATTTAATAACTCTGCATCAACTTGTAGAGAAAAATCGCGTACAAAGAACTGGAAATGACCGGGGCTGAGGCAAGCCATGGACCTCAGTCCTTGACAAGATTGTTATCACGCACTTCCAAAATGTAAGCCAGATGCTTTAGCAGCTGGCTAGGCGATCTTTACCAATTCCTGCAAACGACTTTTAATCAGATCCACAACTGTTTCCTTCCAAATCCCTACTTATTCACCATTAAATCATTTTCCCTTCTAATTTGGAGGTGTATAATCTCTGCAGTTGACACAGCGTCCTTAAATAACTAAGACATGACCATATTCAGTGTCTAGCGATTAGAACATTTCCTTGTGGCTCAGTAGTGGCGTGCGTGGTAGCCGTGATACACTGGGACCACCTTCCGCAAGGAGGGCTGCCGGTGAACGACGGCGTTGAATCCGTGGACGGGGTCAGCGGTGTACTCGACGGTGCGAATAGTGCCGTCAGGTTCCACCAAGCTGTAGCTGCCCTTCACGACGCCGCCCTCTCGTGTCTCGTGCTGCGTCTTAGAATCACCCGTCAGAGCGTCCTGCACACTGTAGCCGAAGCTGTACTGCGGGTAGGCGTCGGGGTACTCGGGTACGTAGTGCGTCACGGGATATGCCAACGACGGGTATCCGCCGCGGGCGGTGGCTACCAGGAAGGAAAGCAGCGTCACGACCTGCAGAACGAGTAACAGCAGAGACAGACGGCATCCCTCACCAACACGCCCTTGGATCGGTTCGTAGAGCTACTCGATTTTCTCCAGTCGACAGGGACTAATTCCCACCGACCGGGCGCAAATGAATAGCTTTTACCTGGGGACGTTGTCAACTAAATTAGGTCGGCGAATAATATCCAACAAGTTTACTGGTGATAACACACATTTTACCTGGGGACGTTGTCAACTAAAGTAGGTCTGCGAATAATGTCCAACAAGTTTACTGGTGATAACACACCACTGTCACAGACCTCCAGACAGTGTTTACATAACAGGTATGTTAGGTATTTTGGTACATTTTCAGCAATTTTCGCGAACTGTGGATAATTTTTAGGCAATAAAACTGCGTATCGCACGGAATGTGAAGGTACCATCTGGTTTAGATATCGCAATTAGCGACAGTGTTGAAGGAGCGCTACTATAAGCGTCACAAGTGTCCTAGTACTTCTTACTCCTTCGGACGTGCGTCGAATTATACGTCCTGATCAAACCGTCGAACTACTAGTTACAGAGAATTTAAAAATACCTATTAAATCGTAACGTTCATCCGCCCCACATACAGCATATATCCCTACGATGCATCCTTCCATATCCTTCTTGGTCTCCCAAGCTGCCATTTTCCCATAGGGTTACCCACGTATATCATGGTACGTATTATATCCCGGGACAAGCTACAAATTCATCGCAACCTCCTACATTTCACAGATCAAAACGAATGAACACCCAAATACCAATGCGGGGTGCCGCCTACGTTATCCAAATCGATACATCGAAATTTACACAACTTCGAGACATATATATTGATATATTTAGCTTAGCCCACTGCTGAACTTACTGTAAGGGGCGCCATGCTGTTGTCGGATGCACACCTAGATCTGCTACAGTTGCGGTCGGTCGTAGTTTTATATGAATCAAAATGTTCCCAGGACCTGCTCTCACATCTGACCCCTTTTCTGAAGCATTGGCTAACCAGCACAGTTCACACACAGCTCGGTCACTTTTGACATCACCGAGTCTGTGGAGAGGGCGAGACATGACGTTAGCTTCATGCTACGGCTGACTTATTCCCGGGAGCGAGCTGAGGATAACTGTTACATGTCAAAATGCCCAGAGCCAATCCGAACGTCGTGGTTTAGGACAGAAGGTCTGTAGCCCCAAGTCATTATTAGAAACGGAGGTAACCAACCAACCTGTAGTGTGGTAAAACACAAATCAAAGCTGAGTTCAAGAGTTCCGTGCAACCATGACAAGTGACCAGCTGACAGCCTACTACCATC